TAACCCCTCGCCGCGCTGGGGAGCGTCGTGGCCTAACCCCTCGCCACGCAGGGGTCCCTCACCCGCTGGACTTGATGTTGCCGCCGATGCGCTTGTCGCCGTGGAAGCCCTGCACGTCCTTCTTGCGCGTGAGGGAGCACCTCCTCCAGCCGATCGGCCGCCGCCAGCACGGCTCCGACTTGCATCGCCCGAAAGCGGACAGTGGGGAGCCTTCCTCCCCTCATGGAGGTAACTGGCAGGGGCCCTCTCAGCCTTCGCTGGAGGCCACCCTTGGGATGGAGGTCGTGCACTCGTGGCCGCCGTACTCCCAGCAGTCGCCCGCTCCAGCCTGCAAAACCAGCTGCCGCGACTGAGGCCAGCTTCGACGGGGTGTCCTGCTTGATCGTCATCTGGTTCAGGCCGTCGTGGTGGTGGCGCCCGTTGTCTGTCTGGCGCCCGATCACCTAACGCCCTGCGGAACATGTCTCGTAGCCGTGCAAGTTCACGCCAATGCCGATGAGCCAATCTGCGATGCTCTTCAGGTTCCGTCTCTGGCACATGGAGTCGTTCGTAGAACTCATCCCTTCTCGCCGTCGTTTGCCTCCACGCACTTCCGCACTGCTGCTCGATGATCTGCTGCATCGTCTGCCCAGGGAACCAGCGCCTCAATGTGCGGCACAGCGGGTGGTTGTTCTCGTCGGTGAGCATCTGCGTGAGCATCGCTACGCACCACTCCTGCCAGCTGTCGCTGTCTCTGGCCAAGCACGTAAGATCGTCGTACCACAGTGTTGCCCACTCTCTAAGATCAGCGCGCATATCGGCATAATCTCGTGGCCCCGTGTCCTCGACGATCGGCGGTAGTCCCATCGCGCCTGGAGCTTGCTCCAATACTCCGCTGTTGTCGTCCATCTTGCAGTTGTCGTCGTGGTTATGGCTGTCCAATCCGTTCTGACTCCCCCCACGGTCGGTACTTTCAGCACTCGTGGCCGACATGGCTGCGCGCATCCAGTGCGTGCCGCGGGGGGCAGTTTCCGATCCAGCTGCGTGACGACGATCTGCACGGTCTAACCCCTCACCGTGCTGGGGCACGGAGTGGCCTAACCCCTCGCCACGCTGGGGCACGCCGCGGTCTAACCCCTCACCGCGCAGGGGAGCTTCGCTGAAGAAGTCGTCGATGTCCCTCTGCACCTCGGGGTCGTCGTAATCCTCCAACTCCTGTAACATCGGCTCGGGCAGAGGGTCGCACTCACAATCTGGTGGGTGTACCGCTGCTGGCCGAAAGCTTGCCGCTGGCGTCTTTCTCGTAATCCGTCTCGGTCGGGGTGCAGGATGAGGTTCTGGAGGGGGCTCCTTCAAAACCAATGGGCCGCAGTACTCATGTGGCGCTAGCCGTTCTTGATCATGTAGCTCTCGCACTTGCCTAGCTAATTGAGCCTCTTGTGCAGCTTGTGGTGGTTCTTTCCTGTAGCCAGGGTAGCGTCCGTCCCGAATCTTGTTGAGCGCATCCTGCCCGTACTTGGTGATCGTCTCGCTGCACTGCTCACGTAGCCTTTTCCCGATGGTCGTTCCATGCGCTGCGCACCGCGCACAGAATAGCAATCCGTACCGCGCCCATTCACTGACCACGTGACTGCGATGTATCTTGCCATTGCCCATGAACCTGTCGCCCTTTACCTCGACTATCTCGTTGGCCGTGATGAACGTAGCGTTGCATTCCGTCGTGGCAAGCTCCTGCAGGGCGTCCGCTGCGATGTACTGTCTGCAGGCTGTGCAAAACCACTTATTCTTGAGCCTGACCATATCGTGCTGCTTCATCTTGTCGACGACTTCCTTTACTCGGTCCCTCTTGGCGTTGGGCTTGGCTGTGGAGGGCCTCTCAGCGCACCAGGGGTCGATGTTCGCCGTGTCCGCCGAGGCCTGCCTCGCTCGCAATCGTGCGTGAGCACAGATCGCGTCCCATTCGTCTGTCCGCGGTAGTGGCGTGCACACTCTTTCCCAAGAAGCTTCTGCCGCAACCGTAGCCAATGCGTCTGCAAAGCTGTTGCCCATCGCGAAAATCGGGTTGACTAGATCGGCCTCGTCCTCGTCCTGGTGCGACGGGGTCCACTCCACTACGATGTGTCTGGGGGACGTGTCCATCACCGCCCTCTTGATGCGCGCCCATAAATCCGCGTTCTTACCTCGGCCAGGGTCTTGAGCTCTGCCTTTTGTCCAAGCTGTGAGAAGCGGGTAGTGGTCCGTGACGTACACTATGTCCCCTCTCGTTTCCTCTATGGCGATCGCGAAGGCCGTGATCTCTGCCCGCGGTACGGTTTGACGCCGTCCTGGTAGGTCTGCCATCGTACCTGCTGACATGCTCCACCTGCCGTCGATCATCTTCATGGTCGCCACTCCGATGCCTACTCGTCTCCTTCGGGGGTCGCCGCCGTGGAAACCGCCTGAGCCATCACCAAATAGATACAGACTGCGCCCTGGCACTCGAGCTGCTTCGTGGTCGCCGAACCTGACATAGTCCTGTCTG